TACTCAGGGAATTTGTTCAATTTTTTTCATTGGTCGGTGCTATTTTTTAGGTCACAGGGACGTCGTTGAAAAGCTTATCAGCAATGGAGCTAAAGTTGATCCCAGAGACAGCCGTATGCAGACACCTCTTCATGTTGCTGCTGAGAATGGTAATTTGGAATATTTATGCCTTCATTTCATTAGCTGTTATGAAGGGTGAAGTTGGACATATCTATTCGTGAGACATAAAAGAATGTATGTTTTATTGTCGATTTATATTTTTGAAAAGGAAAGTATGTTTTCTGTTGATTCTATCTGCGTTAAAAGGAAGTATGTTGGCCCGTCTAGCCTCCGCGGTTTTTCACGGTTTCCGCGGAACTGATAAAAGATAACAACTTGATGTCTTCGGCAAAGTTGTAGTACTCGAGGTCTTCTATAACATTGCTGAAGATACTAGAACTGATAAGAGATAAGCGATAACTGACTTCATCAATGTTGTATAAGACCTCGAATGCTACAACTTTGCCGAAGACACCAAGTTGTTATCTCTTATCAGTTCCGCGGAAACCGTGAAAAACCGCGAGGACCCGCTAAAAACGAACATACATTCTTTTAACCATTATTAGTTGCAATGAAACATACTTCTCTTTATTGCTACGAAGTTGGACCAACTTGCGTTCTTTTACATCTCACTAATAGATATATTTTCATAAAATAAGAAATTGGTTTGATCTTTTTCATTGATCTGTATTGTTTTTCAGGTGATGATGATGTCGTTGAAGAGCTCATCAAGAGAGGATCCGATCTCACTGCTTTAGACGTATCTGGGAAGACACCTCTTCATCTAGCTGTTATCAATGGTTCATGTTCCATAATGAATTGATATGAACTTTTGAATTTTTGATTGATCGATATTTTTTTTAGAAGAAAAAGATTTTGGTAATAGACGTTTTTGGAGGGGTTTTAGACGTTTTTGTCAATTTTGCCAGATTTTTGTCACATTTCTGGATGGTTTTGTCATTTAAAACGAATTATTTTAGACGAATTCGTTAAAAAAAAGGGACGATTTCTTTTAGACGAAATTGCCATTTTTTGGACGATTTTGTTTTATTTTTAGACGTTTTTGTAAGCAGCCTTTTTTAAATTACTAAATCATCTCGAAATGTGACAATTTTTTCTTAACAAAAAAAAAATAACAAAACTCTTCGGGTTTTAAAATAACAAAATCGTCTAAATACGAGTTTTCTGGTAAAATTGACAAAAACGTCTAAAACTCACCAAAAACGTCTATTAACAAAATGTTTATTTAAAATGACAAAATCGCCTGAATACACATTTTCTCGAAAAAATGACAAAATCATCTAAAATCCCAATTTTTTTCAATATCTTCTTTATTTTTTACTTTAGGAATCACACATTTTGCCGAATTTATTTTTTTTCATTCGATTATTTTTATTTTTTCTCCACTACACATTGCATATGAGCTTAGTTTGATTCCAAAAAGTGAAATGATCAAAACCATACCCAGTGAATTTGATAATACATACACTGAAGATGGCTTTCCAATCCGGAGAGTATCTTTTCATTTGCAAACGACTGATGTAAATAATTTTATATTCTTCTTTATTTATTTATCAATGAAGAAGATATTGAAAAAGATTGGGATTTTTAGATGATTTTGTCATTTAAAACAAATTATTTTAGACGATCTTGTTAAAAAAAGGGACGATTTCCTTTAGACGAAATTGTCATTTTTTAAGACGATTTTGTTCTATTTTTGAACGTTTTTGTAAGCAGCCTTTTCAATATGATCCAGCAAAAAATCCTAGCTAAATCAACTAGAACTTAATTCAATTTATGATAAATTCGTTTAATTTTCTTTCGCTTCACTTCATTAATCCGTTTTTTTTTTTCAATTTTAAGTAAACGATAAAGGTAACCATCGATATTCATATTCACTAAATTAGAAATTGATTGAATCTTCATCATTGATTTATTTCAGGTCAATTGGAGACCGTTAAAAAGCTCATCAAGAAAGGAGCCAATGTTAATTCGACGGACAGACTTAAGCGGAATCCATTTCACTATGCTGCTATGAATGGTTGTTGAATATATATTTCCATAAAAATAAGAATTTGGTTTGATCTATTTCATTGATCTGGATTATTTTTCAGGCCTCAAGGATATCGTTGAAATGCTCATCACAAATGGAGTCAATCTCAATGATAAAGACTTTAATGGGAGGACAGCTCTTGATTTATCTATTCGCTATGGTTAATATTGGACATATTGGATACTCCGTGATAAATTGATTTGAAATTTTTCATTGATCGATATTATTTTTTAGGTAAGGATGATGTTGCTGAAGAACTCATTAAGAGAGGATCCGATCTTAATTCTAAAAACAAGAGTGAAGAGACACCTTTGCATTTAGCTGCTGCGCTGGGTAACTTTGAATATTTCCACTAAATAAGAAATTGATTTTTCTCATTGGTCGATATTATTCTCCAGGCAACTTAAAGATCGTTCAACTTCTTGTCGAGAAGGGCGCCAGTGTTACTGCGACAAACAAATTCAAGCAGACACCGTATGAGGTAGCTGCTAAGTATGGTGATGAAGGTAATGCTGAACATTTTTGTTCAGAAAAATATGTGATTCAAACTTTATCACTGATCGATAATATTTTCCAGAGCACAAGAAGGTTGCTGCCTATCTTAAAACCAAACCTTAACCATTGCTGCCATTCAACATTGTGTCAAAAAGTACCTCAAGTTATTTGTCTTTGAAATTGCTTACTGGTATAGATATTGAGTAGAATATTTTTCTTCCTGGATTTGTGCAACTTCAACGAATATCCGTGCTGAATTTGAACGCGATATATGTGAGTGCTACGCCGTAAGAAACCAACGGCGAT